AAACATCACAAAAAACAGCGGAGAACAGTAACCGAAGGAAACGACAAAAACTACGTACCTACACGTGGAATCCCACCAAAAAACAAAACGGCCGAGGAATATCGTTGACGGAGGAAAGGACGGGAACTGCTACATCTAACGCAGTACGAGCGAAAAGTACGGCAAAAGAAATACTCACGTTCACAGTGTCACTCCCCGGGCTCTCCATCCACGTAGGAGTCTCATCCATGTTGCCGATCTGCGCCAAGGTGAACTTCAGCTTTGGCCCCGAAAGAACTCCAGCGCCACTCCCACCCCCGCCGCCGCTCGCGCTGCCTCCCGCCACCGTCGCAACCCCCAGGCATTCGACTCCGTCCGCAAGTTCGAGCGCAGAAGGCACGTCGTACTTTAGGCTCCTCCACTCCTTGATCGCCTGCATGGCGATCACGGGCCAGCCGGAAGGAAGTTTCTGGCCTTGCCGGGTGACGGCTCGCACAGAAAAGCGGTACACCTTGAGAAACCTTCTGCACCACTGGCTCAGCTTTTTCTTGTACTTGTGGTTGCCCGCGAGGTCGGATACCAGCGGCCTCTCCCCGAAGAAGGTCGGGTTGAGCTCGATGGCCTTGTGCTTGAGCATCTTCGTCGAAACGCGGGCCGAGATGCTCTCAGAACGCAGATCATTGATCCAGTCCACGATCGCTTGCTCGGCTTCCCGGTTCGTCCTGACCCGTCCTGTGTTCAGCGACATGCGGTTCTTGGCGTTCTTCTTGCTCTTCAATCCCTTGAACTTGCCGCCCTCTGCCGCAAGCGCGGCTTCGTACTCGGGGACCTTCCTAACCCACTCCGCCAACGTGGCCTTGTCGGGAATGTTCAGGACCCTGGTGGCGTAAGAGATCCCAACAGTCCCGCCCGGCCCTTGCGCCCCCTTGACCCTTTTCTGCGAGTACCGCACAGCATTCACCTTGAACTGCAGAGGGTAGCGCTTCCTTTGGGATCCACCACCAAAGTTGGGAATCTCGAAGTCCGGCGGCTCCAACTCCAGCTGCCCTTTCTTCCGCTTGCCCTTGTTCTGCGCCGGCGTACCGAAGAGAGCGCCGCCGAACCCATCTCCCCACTCGGTCTCTCCGGGAAACATCGTGTCGCGGGGTGAGCCATCGTTGGTCACCGGTGCTCCTGGCGCTGGTGCTGGTGTGGGTGTTGCTGCTGCCGATCCTACACTTCCTGGCGCTGGAGCTGGTGCCGGCGCTCGAGCCGGTGCCGGCGCTGGAGCTGGTGCCGGTGCTCCGGATGGCGGCGCTCCAGACATATCGGTAGATGCCGCCTCTAGAAAAAATAAACGCAGACAACCACGTGCGGAATGGCACGAAGCGGTCGATGTCGGAACGCGAAAAACATGTGTTGTGTGGACAGGAAACAACGCGCATCTGCGCCACGCAGGAACAAAAAATTACCGTACACACCCACGCCATAATACAACTTGAAAAGATGTACCGGAAACGTGGATCAAACACAAAGGTGAGAACAAATCACAGGAAACCCGGAGTGTTGCGCAATATAATTGTTTTTAAAGTGTACCGTGAACGTGTAGGGCTCGAAACAAAGAAACAAAAATATACGAAGTTGTGAGGGCGGCGCAAACACCATATTATAAAATATGTACCGGGAACGTGTGGCTTAAAAAAAAAAATGAAAAAATACAAGGAAGTCTGGAGTGTGCCGGTGGCGCAATATAACTAAAAAAATAAATGTGTACCGGGAACGTGTGTGGCTCAAAAACAAATGTGAACAAAATATACGAAGTCAGGTGTGCGGGTGGCGCATGACAACTTAAACATGTGTACCGGGAACGTGTGGCTCAAAAAAAAAGGGAAAAAACACAAGCCTGGAGTGTGCGGGTGGCGCAAAAGTCCGCAAATTGCACGTTTCGAGACAGTGGAACAATACTACTTACTACTGTACGAGCGCGTACACATGTGTGTCTCACCTGATCGTTCCGTGACGACGGAAGTGCTTGGCTCCTGGTCCACCACCACCAGCTGAGAGGGTTGGCTGGTACGTGTTGACCCGCCTGCTGCGGTACTCGTGCGTGCTGCTGAGAGCGAGTCAGCAACTGGCTGCTGGTGGGGCGAGCCGGCGGCTGCCATGTTGGCGCCTGTTGCTGTGCCAGCTGCTACTGCTGTTAGATCAACAGCACGAGGAGGAGCAGCAGTAGCAGCAGCAGCCGCTTGCGTAGAAGTCTGCTCGGGTTGAAAGAACGAGGTGATCTGTGGCGCCTGTGCTGCTGCGGTCGAAGCAGTCGTGGGAGAAGCAGATGTACTTGCGGCGGCATTCTGCTCTTCCCGCACGTTCATGTTCTCTGAGGTCTCCATGTCTCCCCCCGTACGGTACAAGCTGTGCGTGTGTGATGCTGTTTCACCCCCGGTGATAGAGACAGGGAATGTATGCGGCGTAACCTGTGTTATCACCGGGGTGTGGTATCTTGTGTACCCCCGGAGATAAATCATGGTCTGAAAAATACACCCAAAATTACCACCGGG